AAGCTAGAGTAACAAATTCTCACGTTTCCCCAATAACCTAGAGGGTTCCCTGGCAACGGCGCCAAAAACTTGACACGCCAAGACACAACACCAAACTGCGACCAAGTGTAATTGCAGTCCGGGAATGCAGTAACAGGCAAGTTATATTATCAACCCGGGGTCTAGATCTACTGCTTACTCCGTGATTGTCTATTATCTAGCAAACTAATTCGAGTGATTGTTGTTTAAAGCAAAAGCAGTAAGAAAGCAGTAAATTGTTCGGTTTTCAAAGTCAGGAAAGAGTCACTCGGGATTGAGTCCCCCTAACCCCTTAGTTAGGTTCAATTGTAATTCCCCTGGGTTGATTGACTGTTGATTAGACTGCGGAAGTTCCGACAGTAGCTTGGAATCTCTTAAGCTGACCAAGCCCTCTCAGTCTAGCTACCCGGCAGACGACTAGTCTTCACCGGGATAGAAAGCAGAGGCTATGAACACAGAACTCCACTACTGGAATTGAATTCCAGTACAAAGCAGTAAACTGGCTAACTCTCGTATAGCCAATCTCCTACTATCGAATGAAGAGGCTCTAACAACCTAATCAGATTCTATCTATCTCAGGTTGCAGCAGAAATCGAGAAAAGCTGATCAGACTCCAATCAATTCAATAAACATGCATCATTCGATTAAAATCAAACAGTAATATCATCCCAAGTCATTACAATCAAATCCCTAACACAAGGAACTAGGGTTCTTCATACCCAAGTGAGAGAAGGGTTCTACTCCATAGAGAGAGAAGAGAAAACAGTAATCGGAGTAGTCATACTCATAATGATGAGGAACATCTGCTCCGGGATGATGATTTCCACTCCTATGACGATCTCCAAGCTCGATTCGACGAAACCCAGCTCCAAGATAGCTTCTAGGATGTGTTCTTCGTACTTTCTCTCTCTAGGGCTCTGTTTCTGCTCTGAAAATTCGATACTCCCACTTTTGGCTCGGAATTGGCTCAAAAACCAGACTTTCCCGACTCACACGGGCAGGCCACACGGCCGTGTGGCTCACCACTTTGCCCGTGCGAGTCGAAACGCGGCGTATCATTAAGTTCGAACTTCAGCCTTCTCACACGGCCTGGGTTGCACGGCCGTGTGGATTTCATGAGCTGCCCGTGTTTGGCCTTGGCAAAAATCACACGGCCAGACTTCTCATTGGCACAGCCGTGTGGAAACCACTTGTGCCCGTGTTCGCTCTCGCACAATCCCACACGGCCTGGCTTGTCCTTTGCACGGCCGTGTGATGCCACGGTCTGCCCGTGCAGCTTCCTTGAAACCTCGCCATTCGTCCGATCTTCGTCCAATCGACCCCAGACTCGCTCCCAAGCCTCCATTCACGTACTAGGACCTGAAATATCACAAACAAGCACAACCTAGCGTAAAATCGGCCTAAAACACGAGAATCAACACCTCAAACGGTGTAAGAACGGGGGTAAAAACATTTGTAAATAACGGTCTATCAAGAAGCGACCAATGCAGAGAGGGCAGCTGATGAAAAATAGAAAAGGATGACTTCCTATGCAAGAACTACATCCTCAATGATGAGGCTAATGACCTTTATGACTACTACACAAATAAAAAAACACTCTGAAGATGGCCTGAGATGCTCTTTAGACTAAGAATGACACTGAGGAGACTAAAGCTAAGAATTACGTTGTCAGCCGCTACCTGCGCTACCAAATGGTGAACGACAAGTCAGTCGGTGTTCGATCACATGAACTTCAAACAATTGTTCATATGAAGGTATGCCTCTAGATGATTGTTTAAAAATGTTCTTAGGCATAATACAAAGAATTTTGCTGCAAAGTTTGATAACTCACCTAAGGATAAAGGAGGAAGCTCGTGAGTAGGATATTAGGATATGAAGGAAGAAATGTTGGTTGTTAGTGCTAGACGATCCATTCGTAGGGTTCTGGTAATAAAATCAGAAGAGTTTCAAGAACTAGAGTCAAAAGATCCGCTCCAATCAAAATGGTACCCCTCATGGTAACCAAAAGACTATGGGTCAATCCTGTAAGAATGACACTATGTTTCTATGTTATAACTGCGGGAAACCAAGTCATATGACACTAGGAACAAGCCTAATATTGGTCTCAATGTTAACTTGACTGAAGAAGAGATCTTGGTGGTTATGTTCACATTGATGTCATATGCAGTTAACCTCACCGGTAACTCAGAAAGATGGTGGTTGGATATTGGTGCTTGCTGATAAGAAAATGTTACTGGGGAGTGCCCACACCACTATAGTTTCTGGTTCTGGGAATGTGGAACTAAACTTTACCTCTGGCAAGACACTAACACTATTGGATGTCTTGCACTCTCCAAAGCTAAGAAAGAATCTTGTTTTCGGTTATCTTCTTAATAAGGTTGAATGTCATCAAACTATGGGGCTGATTTCTATATCCTTACTGATAATGGAAATTTTGTGGGAAAGTGGTATGCATGTGATGTGATGTTCAAGATGAATTTTGAAGTTAATAAGATGGATTATTATGTTTACATGGTGTGTCATTTTAATGTTTGGCATTCTTGTCTTTGCTATGTGACAAACAAATTGTAAAGAATTTGAGTAACTTAGGACACATCCCTAAAATGTCTTTGGATGAATGAGATAAATGTAGTTTTTTTAGCCAAGCTAAAATAATGAAAATGCCCAAATATATGTATTTAGAGAATAAGAATCCTTAGTTATGATTCATTCTAATATTTGTGGACTAGATGTGTCACTAACTAGAAATGACAAGAGATATTTTATAATGTTCATAGATGATTGATCTGATTATTCTTTTCTTTACTTGCTGAAAAACAAATGTGATGTTCTTGATATGTTCAACAAACAAACAAGCGATGATCAGACCTATTATTGTCCAAATGCAATGCTCTCGTGTTAGAAAAAGTCTCCCGCCATCAATTATTAGCAATGAACCTATCCAAATGCGGAACGCTCCTCGATGTAGCCACCAATGAGACGTCGGTTCTCCCACTTAAATGGATATTCTTTGAATCCTAGGTAATACATGCCAACATATGTTAAAAAATCTGAGAACACTCCCATCTCCTCCTTAGTGGTAAGACATCACCCTTCTTCTCATGGCCTTTTAGGATTTGGTTAAAATCCCCACCATAGATCTAGGGGTTGGTCCACTATTCGACTAAAATTCGCAACAACTCCTATGTACGGGGCTTGTCACTCCCTTCCGATCATCCATATATCCATGAAAACCTTCATATTCCACCTCATTCCTCCTTCACTTTCACATCAATATGGTGTAGAGATTTTGACATTACTAATAGACTTACTTCCTTCACCCACCATACACTCACACCCCATGCACGCCCCCCATTGGAGACGTCAATAGGCCAACACTTCGCATTCTTATAACCCAAAACGATTCTTGTAGGCTCATTATCATCCTCTAAACGACATGTTTCCATTAGAAACAAAACATTTGTAGAAACATACAACAAAAGTAACTTCAAAGCCCTAGTTTCTCTCGTGTTTCCCAATCAATGATAGTTATAGCAGAGAAGCCTCATTTAATGACTGAAGAAGATAGGTTCTCCATACCATCGCATTTTATTGCTCTTTGTCCCAATGGTTCCAACCTTCATAGTCTGAACTCGACCATCACCCACATTCTTTTGCTTCTTATTTTGTTTCCTTGTATTCACTTCCTCTTTTTCCTTCTCCATAGGATTTTCTTGAGGTGTGGGCTGACTTATCTCCCTTTTATGGCTATCACTTTTCATGGATTGTGTATCCATGTTGCCAAAATCTATATTTAGATCTTCCATAGTAGGTTCTCCTATTGTGGTTTCCCAGTTAGGATTTTGTAGTTTTTGCATGGATGTCCTCCCGTTACGGAGACGACTTCTTGTTACCATGCATTCCTTGTTCTGAACATGGGTACATTTCTTCACCCGATCTTCCCTCTTGGAGTTGGCTCTCGACAACCCTTCCTCTTCATATAGACAGTGATAGAGCCACCTCATGGGATGTGGGGTCAACAGACCCCACTTGAGAATTGGTCTCATATTAAAAAGAATAGAAAATATGAGTGGTGACGCTGAAATTGAACTTTGGACCCCATGGTAGCAATACAACAACCTCACCACTATGTTGGATGTTACTTTATGTTGCTTTGTTGTGCTTAAATCCTTCTATAATTAATTTTATAATCCCACCCAACAATTTTTCTAGTTATGCCAATGAGTATAGGGCATTAACACGATTTTTGTTGAAGCTATTAGTGTTCCCAGACTGACTACCTTGTTTGTGTGGTTTGAAACCCCTTGGATTTTATCTACATTCTTTCTTCTTTTCTACCATCCACTCACTACACATCCTTTCATTAGTGTGGCTAGACGGATTCGCTGTTACGGTTTTGTGTGACTCCTCTATAACTTCCTCCTCCTGCCTCGGGCATATGCAAGAGCATTCATGGGCTAGAACTCCATACATTATGCTCCCAGAGCATATTTTATGTAGGCCTTCATATTTAGTAAGGTATGTGATTCATTCGAACTTATTCTGTGAGAGTATCGACTTTGTCAAATCTAGTTCAACACACACTCTCGTGTATTTGGTCCTCGCTCCTTGTTTTGTGGGTTGATCCACCCGCAACGTTTTTCCAAAAAACTCAGTTATTTTTCTGACAGCAAATTGATGGTAAAACTCAATCAGAAGTTCATGTAGATGTGCCCAAATCATCATTGACGTTACCTCCTACTTCCATGATTAAAACCTTTATACCAATAAGAAACCGTCAGGTAAGTATCTCGTAGCATCCATGCACCGCACGATGTTGCATAATCATAGTCTAGTTTGCTCTTGAAGCAGAATAAGAAACACAAGTTATGCAGGTCAAAGATTTTTAAGCCCTCGTTACGCGTCCATAGCTCGTAGATTCGTTGGGATAGAAGGTTGTAGGGCACCTGTCTTCCTTGTCATTTAACCACCAAAGCTAATCATTATTCTCTTCGAAAGATAACTTTCTCTGCTACAAAGAACACTAGCGCCGGGCAACGGGAATCAAAGTTCTCCTCCACTACATCTTCCTCTTCCTTCATGGCGGCAACAACATCTTTCGAGTCGGAGTATGCCACATACCACTTATCCTCCCGCATAGTAGGACCAAACAACTTCATCGCGTCACCATTCTAGACTCCAAAGTTTTTTCGAGCTTTAGTCATTGTCTCATCTCTGATGATCCTCCGGGCTCCAACAACATCTCACTCTCATATTGATTATTCAATACCTTATCTTTTTAGTCTACTGGTTTGGATATGTCCATTCCTCAAAGGTGCTTATTCACATCACATGTTGAGTCTTTTTGTCTCCATTAGCTTTCGGCGAAGATGACCCTATCTGGGGATGCCTGAGTTCAGTCATACGAATAACGACAAAATTGATAATAACGTTTTACTAGTCGAAGAGTTAGTACAAGAAAAGAATGTCAAAGAACTTCATAAGTCAAAATTCATAGTTCGGGAGCTTGATTGTTCCTTTTTTCTTCCCATAAATTGAAGATACTCAATGGACAAATTATTGCTATAAATAGTAGGGGTGGTAATCGGTTTTCCGGTAAACAGTATAATCGGTTATCGTACTGATAACCAACACTACCAGTTATACCGTTAACCAGTTAGAGCTATGGCGGATGGTGTCTTTCGGTATAACGATAACTAGTAGCAATAACTGGCGTGTTAACCGGATACCGATAGAAAAACCGGCATCGGCACCGCCATCATTTAATCCAAACCTCCACCTTCTGTTACTCTCAAACTGACCTCCAACCTCTTCAGCTCTTCTCAATCCTTCTTTCTCATCCAATTCTTTCCTCCCCGACGCCATGAAGGTCTTCAAAATCATAACGAACCCCAAATCCCACAACACGATTCTTAGAGAGCGACTAGAGTTCTGAATTCTTTGCCGCCGACCGCTTTTCGAATCCCTACCGCTGATTCTTAGAGAGCGATGAGATTTATGGCGGCTTGACGAGAACAGCGACGACAGCTTGAAGAAATCATTGACGACGCAATTTTGCCGAGAGGAGATGAAGCGTTACCGGTTGTCGGATCATCGGAACGGTAACCGCTACCGGCAAGCCGATTAGTCGGTACACCGGAAGTCAACGGTACCCATTGTCGACAGCAGATTTGAGCATCGGTGGCATGCCGGAAACCGGTCAATCGATAACCGTTTATACCGATACCAACCTATTACCAAGCCTAACAAATGTATAGGATATGGAAAAGGACGGGAATTGTATTTTTAATAAAAGAAAAATAAAGAAAAAAAAGTTCAGATAAATTAACATTTGATCATATCATTCGAATGTGGAACAACGGTGGCGTAATTCGCGCCCCTTTGATGTTGGGATGTCACGGCCCCACCCTGATATTTCTTCCGATCAGAATCCAACCGCCGTTGGTAGCTCTGCCACCGTGCCACTCCCTAAGTGGCTCGCCATATTTTCCCGTATGTATATTTCCCAAAAGAAATCGACCTCAACTAATTTCGTTTCCTTCCAATCTTGGACGTCTTACGTTTCTTCCTATCACCACGATAGAAAGTGAAACGGCACTCACCGGCAACATACGTCCAAACGAAAGACACACTACTTCTACTACTTATTAATTGTGTATGCTGCTGTACTAGGAAGGATTACGATTTCCGAATCTCCCCACTGGCCACTACCACTCCAAAAATCATATATAATATTCCCACCTAATTCTAACTTCACGTAATCTTTTTAGCTATAACAACTTCTTCCAGTTGCCCAAAGGCAAACCTAAACCCTATATCTGGGATGCCGTTGGTTTTGTTTTACTTTCTCTACCCCGTTTTACTTCTATTTACAGCCTTCACAGCCAACGCATGTTCGGAGTCATGAACGCGTCATTACATTACACCGGGAGGGGAGGGGAGGGAATCTATCACCGTATAATTAATTACACATTTACACCAATGGGATACGGTGCAGAGTCTACGTACATCCATACATACAAAGTACACGCAAAAAGACGAGAAACAGGGAGTTCAGAGGGAATGCAGGTGTTTTGCTCTCTGAATTGCTTGCTGCACCCTCGTCGATGGCTCCTCGTACAGAAAGGCAGGGTTGTCAAACTCCGACGCCTTACTCTTGTCCCCCAATAGCGCCCGGAACGTGTCCGCCACCGAATGCGAGAGGGACTCGAGGTTGTAACCACCTTCCAAGAAGAACACGCACCGTCCACCGCACAGATCCTTGGCCAGCTGCTTGATGTTCGCAGCTAGAGAGTAGTAGGTCGCTGTTGTGTATTGTAGGCTCGCAAGTGGATCCAGTACATGCCCGTCGTAACTGCCAACACCAAACCAGGGCGATTGTTTTAACGATCTTTAGAGGGCGGCTTCAGGTACTACTGAGTGCTAGTAGCTACCAACTAACTCACCCTGCAGAGACGAGGATTATATCTGGCTTGAACCTCTGGGCACATGGTACAATGACTTCGTCGAACGCTGCCCTCATTGCAATGTCGCCTGATCCCCCGGGTAGAGGCAGATTCAGAGTCGCTCCTTCACCCGCACCAACCCCTACCTCCTCGAATTTACCTGTACCGGGGTAGCTTCCGTTCTGAACTAATACAAAAGGTGATTTGGAAGGTCATCTACAAATGCTCATTGTAATTGGATCAAAGAGGAGAAAGAGAAAAATATCACCACAAAAGAATGGTGCATAACAAATGAAACCAAATGGTATGCTTACCTGGTGAGTAGACAAGAAGAATACATCGGGATCATCATAGAACATGTCATGTGTGCCGTTCCCATGGTGGACATCAAAATCAATGATAAATACCCTCTTCAGTCCATGTTGCCGCTGTGCGTGGCGAGCTGCAATGGCCACATTACCGAATACGCAAAAGCCCATGGGTCCCTTTTGGACTGCATGATGCCCTGGAGGTCTTATCAACGCAAACCCTGTTGGCGGATTCTGGCTGTGCTTTGATGCTTCAACCTAATACAAATTCTGTTGATCACTATAGCAGCAAACTCTATGCTCTTGATATCATGCAGTATGCATAAGTAAATTGAAGCTAGAGGCTATCATTATACATATCAAGTCCATGTGCAAGGTCGTGACTTTACCACTGAATCAACCAATGCTAGTCCAGATCCAGCTGCCAAGAGTGAGTCCTGGAAGGTCTGCATTGATCAGGAAATTTAAGGAAAAGTCTAAGTTACTGAAGCTCTATACTCTGGATAGTATGATTCAATACATGGCTCCTATGGATCCGGCCAGAGTGGGATAAACCCAATCATAGGCTAAAAGTCTAGAGAAGAGACCTTAAATAAATAAATAAATAAACGAAAAAGGAACCCTTTGAAGATAGCCCACTTACCATCTGAGTAGCATAGGTTGGACCAGTATTCTCAATCAAAATTATGCCTTGCTGCGAAGCTTCATCCATAGCCTAACAAACAGTGACAGACAAGCTGGTGAGGCTGGCAAAGCACAAGCAGACAGAGAAGGAATAGAAGAACCAGAATAGGAAGGCAACATAGATTTGAACACTCAAAACAACGATGAATCATATTTGATGCATTGTAAAACCAAAAATAAAGTTAAGGAATATAGAAAATTTTCATTATGGTGAAAGTTCTTCATAAAATCACACTAGTACCAAGACGAGGAATGTCGGAATGGAAAGCATATAAAACAATGTTGCAGGTCAAGGGACTACCTTTTCGAGGCCTGTGACATATGCCTTGCTGTGAACATTTGCAATGTCATCTACTGAAGCAGGTTTGAAGTTTGTAAGCTCAATGATCTCTGAACCACGAAACTGACATTTACAATTACAAAACAATCAATTTGCAAATTCTAGTAAAGCTTCAGTTCAAGTATGCAGAACTTTTGATTCTCCACAAATTAACATATGTAGAAATTCGATCACATTTGTCATCAGTGAAAGAATGGTCCAAAACACATACACAAGTTCGCGTTTTATGTACAACTTTATCAATCTTCAGCAAAGCCAGTTAACAAGACAGGAAATAAAGCCAAAAACCAGAAGAAAGGCCCCTCTGGATGTTTCTTCCAAAATCTCTCTGTTTACCTAACATTCTAAGAAGTTTTCTGAAGTTGATTTGAAGAAAACAATTATAGTGAAAGAAAAGAAATGAAAGAGGTTTTTTATTTTTCCGTTTTAAGTTTTTATACATTACAAGCATGTATGGTGCATGCCAACAACTGTTTCGGAATAACGCGACTCGTTCTTCCCTAAAGACATCTCATGCAGAACATTTAGGTCTTTTAGAGGCATTTTCTCTGCACCAAAAAAATTAGGTGCTATTAACACTATACCAACACCAAGACTGCCAGGTCACCTGCCTGTTGGCCATACTTGACTTGGTAAAACCAAAAAGGAACTCATGATTCAGGTACAAACCGAAAAACTTGAGAAGAAAGATCAAGCAAGTACAAGGTGAGTAGAAGCATAAGAAATTCAATCTTAACAAGGAGTATCAAGAACAAACTACAGACGACAAATAATAATATGATGTTAGGTGATGCTCAATACCTTTGGAGTAAGTTCCATCTTTTCAAGAGCAGTCACGATTGCAGGAACTCTAAAATGGGATTCTGGATGTGCCTCCTGCCAAGAAAGTAACCAAAGAGCACAGTAAAAATTACCAAACCATGATAGCATTAGCATAAGCGAAACAGAAGAACATAATCAACTGAGTAAATGAAGAACACCGTTGTTTGCAATGATTGACGCCATTTTCAAGGAATTGCAATTATTCGGTCTAAAACCGAACCTTTTTCTAGCTCGGTCTAAAACTATGAAACTTTCTGTCAATCTTATATCGAATGACAAGGAATACATCAATATGCATTTGCTTGCTTTCCATTGTTCATCGGTTAGCTTTCACTCCTAATTTGTAATTTGAACATTCCTGGACCAGAACTTCACAGCCATATCCCCTAAACTCCGGAAGATCAGTGACCAGAATCTCCAGTTGAACTTAAATGCAGTGATCATTAAGCTAAGCAAACTCTTCACAGTACAGTTGTATAGAACTCTCGCAACTTGAAGCAGTTGAAATAGTAGAAAAAACGAAGAGACGGAACATCCAAAGTATCAAATGGCGTAGAAAGAGAATTTCAGCCAGAGCTACCTTGGTACCTGGTTATGGCCCATGGCGGGAGCCACGCTGTAAATAACTCGCGCATCGGTCAAATTCTGAATTGGAATCGGTTCAGGTTGCTTCTCCAAATCGATTGAACAAGAAACACAAACGCCAGCTCTAGTTGTACTTCCGCGCCATCTCGAGTACTTGCGGAAACATTTAAGCCCTACAGATTTGAGTACCGAAATCAGAGAGCTTATGGCTTCCATTTCGGACACTTGAAGCTGTAGGAGTACCGTGTACGGTTCGGAAGTTACCTGAGAAGGAAGAAAGCCGCAAAGCTTGAACCTCCATTAACGCCTCGATAGCTTCCAGCCCGAAGGAGGAGGAGAACTGAAGAAGGGAGTGTTCGCCTGATTTGATAACGCATTGCATGCCTCAGAAAATAAAATAAAAAGAAATAATTGAAAGCAAGCGGGGAAGAGTGAGGGCACTATTGGAATATGAGATGAATGTTCAGGGGTAAATACGTCTAATCAGAATACAAAGAGGAGAAGGCTAGGGTTCAAGCGAATGCGTGACATATAAATACGTTTCATATCTTCGCCGAAGGTAAAGCAGTCACAGAATTCAGCAGCCTCTCTCGAAATCTCGATCGAAGCGGAACAATGGGAGTTTTCACTTTCGTGTGCAAGAGCTCCGGCGACGAATGGTCCGGCAAGCAGCTCTCCGGTGACCTTGAGGCATCGGCGGGTTCCACCTTCGACCTGCAGAGGAAGCTCGTTCAGGATGTCCTCGCCACCGATTCCTCCGGCGGAGTTCGATCCTCGTTCTCCCTCATCTCTCCCAGCTCTGCCGTTTTCCAGGTCCGTTCGCTTACTCGTGTATTGCTTATGGTATTACCTTCTTGCTGTTCTCTCAACTCTAGATTCGGGGATTGATCTGATGTAATCGTGTTTCAGGTGATCGTCGGTGGTGCTGTCGGAGGCGGAGGGCTCGCCAGCAGCGGTGGCGGAGGCGGCGGCGGCGCAGGAGCACCAGCAGCTGCCGCAGCGGCACCTGCAGCAGAGGAGAAGAAGAAGGAAGAGGAGAAGGAGGAAAGTGACGATGATATGGGTTTCTCGCTCTTCGATTAGGTTTCCTTAATGCACTATTTGTCGGTTTTAGCCATGTTTTCAATAGCTATGGATGGGTTTCTGTGTTTCTGTTGCTGTTTAGATGGGAAGGATTGGATATTGTGAATTTTGAGAATGGCCATGGTTTTTCGATCTTGACGATAATCCTACAATCTGTTTTAGCAGTAGCTGTGAATCAATGCTTGATTTAATTGATTGAGTAAAGAACTTAGTTAGGGCAGGGTCCTTCTGGACCATATTACTTCTCTCCTTATGATTGCCTAGGTTAGAGAATTGAAGGTTGCTCTTCGCAATGTGAAACATGCTCTACATGATTGTGGCCGAACCCTTCTGGGTAAAAGGTTTACAAAGGAATGACGATTAGGTTTTGGAAATTGTTCTGCTTGTCATTCGTGTACCGCTTAGCCATGGCTATCGTGGCTTGTCAAGTGTTACTTTGTTGTTTGTTTGATCGAAGGCATCTTGGCATTCTCTTTTCTGTTTTGAGTTTCGATCTTCATCGCTGATCTTCAAAGATTTAGAACGTTGGTTTCTATTGCGGCATTATTTAGAGCATTGTTCAGTTCACATGGTTGTTTCCTCTTCTATTGTTTTGATGTTTTCCATTCACTCGTTATTGTGAGTTCGTATGAGCTATAATTAAACTCAACATTGGTACAAAGCATCTGAAACTTTTTTTGATCAATCCCAGACTGGGTTACTTGAACATGTAACAATGTATGAGGACATGGTACAGTTCTTAAACGAATTTGGGGCAAGTAGACGACCGAGACAACCTAAAGGTGGGAGTGGTGAGGGGGCTGATTTCGGAATATAGCATAACTATTGTAAAACATCTTTTTGAAAAGAGACTATATTGAGAAGGACTCGATGCAATTGTTTGAGTTGAATTGCTGTCATTAGCCATTAGCAAGAAAAATTCAGCTCGAGCTCGACTCGGTAAATACTCATTAACACAGCTTGTAAAGTTGAGTACAAGCTTGGCTCAAGATGAGCTCGATGTGAAATCATTCTTACTGAAAAATGTGCAAACGTAAGAGTTTAAATAATAAAAAGAACACTAGAATCTAAAAATAACAGCAAACTTCTATACACATTTGTATTAACAAGATAATGTTCATGTTCAGATGAGAATTAATCTTTCTACAAGCTCTAAACAAGCCAGCTCGCGAGCTAAGCTCGACAAGACACCGAGTCAAGTTAGCTCACGAGCTGATCAAGATGAGCATGGTCTTGCTCGAGCTTGGCTCGTTTACTAATGAGTCTGCTTGTAAAATAATGAGTCGAGTGTCAAACGATTTTATTTCCTGATTCGAACGCTGAGTTGCTCGCGACCTGGCGCAACTGAATACATGGAAGCTTGAGCATGTCCGAAGAGAAGACAACCAACATGCAGATGCGCTCTCCAAGCTAGCAACCGACATGGATTTCGAGACGACCGACATGTCACCATCAGAAATGAGAGCGGTCCTCAGGAAGAAGTGATGGACATTGAAGAAACCGCAGACTGGCGGGTTCCCTTAATCGAATACCTAGAGCAGTACATCGCTCCTCGTCACCCAATTGAGCGCAAAGCGCTACAAAGGAGGACGACTCGTTACACGATGTAGTGGGATAACTATGCAAAAGATTGATCTTTGGAGCGTACTAAAGTGTCTAGGCCCAGAGAAATCAAAATGGACGCTAAAGGAGATACACAAAGTGACGTGCGCGACTCATACGAGGCCCAGATCCCTTGAGCGTACAATCCTCATGCAAGGCTACTATTGGCCGACAATTAAAAAAGACGCCCCATACGTCGTTCAGAAGTGTCACGCATGCCAAATTCACCCACAAAACACCAAGTAGCCAACTCGGAGTTGTAAGGCGTGGTAGGACCGTGTCCATTTGCTCGATGGGGGCTTGATCTTTTGGGACCATTCCTCACGACCCCACTAGGGAAAAAGTACCTGGTCGTGACAGTCGACTACTTCAGTAAATGTATCAAGACGAAGCCGTTGAAACAATCACAAAGCGCAAGAGTCTGAAAGTTCGTATTCAACAACATCATAATCCGTTTTGGCATACCACACTCAATCATCACGGATCACAGCACCCATTTCGATTGCATGCCATTTGAAAACTTTTGCGTCAGGAACCGCATTGTATGCACCATGGCATCTGTAGCATACCCGCAAGCTAACGGGCAAACCGAGTCATCGAACAAGCTGATTCTCTGAGGATTGAAGAAACGCCTCAAAGACGCCAAAGGGGCGTTTACGACTGAGCTTTCGCACATCTTATAGGCACCGCACTACACACAAAATAGCTACAGGTGAAACTTCTTTCGCTCTCACATACGGCTCAAAGGTGGTCGCCTCCGAGGAAATGAATTTACCTTCTATTCCCGTCTAGGCGAACAAATCCGAGGACAATCATCAGAAGCTTCTGGAACAATTGGACATGGGGGAATCGCGGTTCGACGCGGCCACGACACAGATCCTTCAAAAGAAAGCAAAGGTTTCCCCCACCTACAACAAAATAGTGAAACTGCAATCCGTGGAAGAGGGATCAAGCGTGATTTCCAAAAGAAAGATGAGCACGGCAAACTCGCCGCAACCTGGTGCTTTCCTCATCGGAAAAAAACAGGTCACAACACCTTTCGACTTGCAAACATGGAGGGCGTCCCAATCTCCAAACCATGGAACGCCATGCACCTGATGAAGTGCTACTCTGAAACGATCTGAAGAGCGTCATTTCGTAGTAGATAGGGTTTTGGTGGTTCATGTAACAAACCTGCCAATTATAATAGTGTATTTTTCACTTCAAAGCAACCACTTTTGCCCACATAATACACTCATATTTTTGGCCAAACTCACAAGTATCTACTCTATGCTTTCAACAAGCACACAATACTCAGAATATATTTGTCAAAAAGTAACGGGACCCCGCTTCAGGCCTAAAAGTATAGATTGATTCGTAACAGATCAATTGATCCTAACACATTCATTTGATAATCACAACTCGATGGAGTCACAATACATAGTCAGGATAAACACTAAATATCAACAGGAAAAACATGAATTTGCTGAGACATCAAACGAAACAACACGATGCGATCACACACTCGAAAACAAGACCGTATAAGCAAGCTACAACTAGGATATCAAATCAACAATAGCATAAATCCGTCCCGATGCGATGACCATGGAATTGTCAATATTACCAGAGTGTCAATCACCCCCAAGAAAGAAATATAATCAAATATTCCAAGTTACGACAACAGGCCGTCTGCGAGCCTTAACAAAATTATATTCGTCTGAAAAAGAAACTAGAAACTGAACACTCTTGGAACCCTCACTACCATCTCCACCTTTGCAGGGCGCTTCATCTTCCTCGTCAACTTCAGAGTTGACATCGTGGTCGGTCCAACCACTAATCGCGTCCCAAATGACAACCATGTTCCAAACTGCCCCGGGTTGGTCACAACGGAAACAATGGCGAACAGAAGCCACAAAGGATCCCACTATCTTCTTGTACTTTTCCTTTTCCAGGGCAAGGAACTCGGCACACATCAAGTAGGCAGGACCGGCTTCAGCACGAGCGCCGGCCAAGTCTAACTCGCGGTTGGATTCAGAGCCTTGTTCTCCACCTTGAGTGTCGATAACTCCTTGTGGAGCGATTCCTGTTCATCAAGCAATGTCTTCTCCAACTCACCAGACTTTTGCACTCTCTCTTGCAGCTGGCCCCTCTCCTCCTTAACCGCCTTAACGACCTCCTTCTCCGTCAGCAACTCCCCCTCCTTATGGGCTAACTGCTCCTCGTAACTCTGTGCTATCTGGGGGCGAACCTCCTCAATACACGCTTCCCGCCATCACTCAAATTCTTCTTTAGGTTGTCAATTTCAACCGCGTTCTCATCAAAAGTCTTTGATAGGCGGTCATTTAGCATGATTATTTGAGAGAACCCTACCTGAGACTGCACACCAACACCCAGAAAGTTACTAACAAAACTAGGGGAATAACAACAACGACAAAGGTACAATCACTAACCGCAAAGAAGAACTGGGTCGCGGTCCTATCGAGATGCTTGTTACTGCCACTCATAGGGCTTGAAGTTTGATACCGGTATTTGAGATACACCCAAGGTTGTCAACCCGCGGGTTGACCCGGACGAGCTGGTGGGTCAAGAGTTAATGGGTCACCCGGTTTAGCCCGGAAATGTGGAAAGAGTCATTATATTGTACTTATCCTGATAAATTATATCAAATCTCATCTAACATATGAGTTATAACATAAAATATTACACCAAAATAACATGTCGTACTTAGATCCAACATATAGTGAAAATTCACACACACTTATATAACATCAATATTCAAATGTTCAACTTTGGATTCCAAAAATTGAGTTAGGCGAAAAGAAAAATCGGAAAATAGGCGCATTTCGCAAACCAAAAAAAAAAGACACAATTTGACCTCTAACCCGGTACCTTGTAGCGGTCGACCCGGCGGGTGCGTGCAGCCCATTTTTCTCACCAGGTCAGAGTCAAAATGGGTCGACCCGTGGGTCAACCCGCGGGTTGACAACCTTGGATACACCGAACTCTTTTAGTTCAAGTCACTCTCGTCTCTCATATAATCTTTTGTTATTTTCACAACATAAAAAAAGCGCTAGTACTAGTCGTCTCTCAGCCTCCAATTCGTCGAATTAAAAATTACTAATGACAAGAACTTGATTTATCACCTCTCCTTCCTTCTCCTTATACATGTCCTAGCTCTAGGCAAACTCAAGACTCTTTGCATAGTCTCTTTACCCTAAATTAAACAATCAAATCTAATTTATATATTTAATTATTAATTACAAAGGTAATTAATTTCGTATTTGATGATACCGATTGGGATACCGAAATACTAATTAGGATACCAAAATATTTAGGGATTGGAATTGAGATACATAAATTATTTAGGGATTGGGATTGATTTTAGTATGTAATTTGGTATTCATGATTTTGGTATTGGGATACCGATACCATACCGATTTCCACCCCTAGCCACGCATAGTGGCAGTATACTCACTAGGCTTTACGAGCTTGTCACTGATAGCGTGAAAGGTAAACTCTGCTGCCTCAGCATCGGCGGAAGCCTCAGAGGAAAAAGATATTGCATCCAATTTATCAGACTGCTTCACACTCTTCCCACGTTTGTCCACTGCCTTCGCTCGAGGAGAGGCCTTCTTGGCCCGCTTGACACCCACGCTAGGGACGCCCTTTTCCACCTGTCTCTTCCCCACACCTCGCGAGGTAGGAAAGGAAGTGATGACCATCTCGCCAAAAGGATTTACAGCCAGTTGAGTCTGCGATGGAGGGACCGCTGGAGACGGAGCCGTTGTAGCCATAGAGGATGAGGCCCCACCGCGGGGTGAAACGGTTTTCTTGGCCTTCTTCTTCTTCGGCCTAACCGCATCGACCACTCCTTCAAACTTGGAAGAAGAAAGCATAAGTAAAACGACATTAGTAATTTGGACATAAAACAAAGGAAGCACGCTACTAACCATAGAATTCACGAACAAGCTGGTATGCGTTATCAGAATCGCCGGTTTACAAGCGCAGTTGAATGCCCTCTATGATACGATCCACATGATCCTTAACATACTGAGGAAACTGGTTTGACAAACCCCGGTCTTCTTTTGTACCAACTGTGTAGCCTGGTAGAGGGGCGGTTACACTCAAGTACCACTTCCAAGTTGGACGCACAAAGAAGTACTCCTTGTACAAATACAAGTCCAACTTGGCGACCCCGTGAAGAAACCCACTGAGTTGTCACGCCTCTCGATCGACCAACAGTTCGTCAAATCACGTATGTTGTAAATCATACGGAATGCATCAAAAGAGGGAGTCTCCCTTAGGCGGTCACACGTGAGTCGGTAGGCAATAG